ATTCTTAAAAGAAACAATATGCATCAAAAGATTTAAAAGAATTGGCAAGCGAACTGAACAATTAACGTCTTAGTTAGACATAGAGGTTCTCAAAGAAATGATGACATTCAAATCACCTTTCAGTGGTGAAACTTTAATTAAAAGCCAACAACTAAAATATTCTGGAATGTTTGTTTTGTTGTTAAGTGAAAAAAAAACTACACAATGGGCTATCTGTGCCGTACTCACAACGGGGATAAATCCCCGAATTTTATCGTTATAAGTCATCATGCTCACCCTATGAGTACCATAAAATACAACAAGAAAAGATATTCTATGGCAGGTTAGTACAAATTAATTTTTTTTCAAATCTGAAAAATCTATAGAGACATAAAAATATAAGAAATACCGAAGAGATAGCATTTAAGGAAATCAAAGGGATATCTTTGATAATTGAGAAAAATATAAAAACATAGAAAATTACCTAACATAATGATAAATGACATAGCTCTCAAACATAAAACTATTCACAAGCTGCAATGAAATTATAAGAATATATTCATCTGTTGACAAACTCAACGTACATGTAGTCGTCTTTGGACAGAGGTCCATTAGGCCAACGTAGATAACACAAGGTTCTGTCTCCGCCAATGACATATTGGTAGGTACTTGTAGTGGAATACAGGAGAGTTGGAAGCGCCAGCAGAATACTACATGCCCAGATTAATGCAGTTAATAGCAAGGCACTCTTCTTCGACATTCGAGGGTTCAGAGGATGCACAACTGCCACATATCTATTTGAAGAAACAAGGAATATATTAAGTAGTAATTAGGTATTTCATGAAATTGCAACCTTGGTCAACAAAAACGTCGCCACTGGTCAGTTAAATCTTAATGTTAAGGATTTCAAATCAGTATTTATATCTAGTGAAATTCAAACGTAACGTCATATATACACTCAACAATTTTCCCACAGAAGTATTCATACACCAAGTAGTTTGTACCAAAAACGAAAACAGGGGAAAAGTCTCTGCCGTAGACAACGATTAGTTTACTATTTTGTTATTTTTTAACTTGTATAACAGTAAAACAGCACTGTCTTACATCATAAATTTTTTTTCTGGCACTGAAGAAATGTCTTTTACTTCGACTTGTTTTGAAGTGTATAAAAAACGAAGGTAACGTTTTATGCTCTACAGTAATACATCAGTATTAATTCCAAACATGCTTGCCCTTTCAACCGTGGGGGCATTATAATGTGACGGTCAATCCCACTATTTGTTGGTAAAAGAATAGCTCAAGAGTTGGCGGTGGGTGGTGAAGACTAACTGCCTTCCCTCTAGTCTTACACTGCTAAATTAGGGACCGCTAGCGCAGATAGCCTTTGTGTAGCTTTGCGCGAAATTCAAAACAAACAAACAAACACTATTAATTCTATAGATTTCCAGAATATGATTAGAGGATATATTGATGAGTCAATTTCAAAAGAAATACAAAATTAGTGTTGTATTCAAATCTATATAAATGGAAATGACAATATAGATTTATAAAAACAACAATATAGTTTTACCTTACAATGCCTAAGAATGTTTTAGCAAATTACTAACTCATTATTGCAGTATCCGGCATACTATGCTTAAGAATCTGTATAAATATGATAGTACTGTTTGTTTCATGTCCATGTAACTACTTCGCAGGGTGTAGGTGTAGGTCCATGAAGTGGTACATGCAAATTTTCAGTTCTGCGTTTTGCGATTTTTATGGGCGTTTTTTGCATATTACACTGCTCCGCACCCTATTGATGGATGGATCTTCACCAAATTTGGCATCAAGGTTTGTTAGGTCCATGCAGAGCTACATGCAAACTTCCGGTTTCACAATTGTGTTTTGAAGTTTTATGGGCGTTTTTCGTTTTTACAACTACA